GAGCTGCAAAGCTCTACAGTGGAGATTGGAGTATCTGTCCATAGGACCACTTTAAGCCGTACACTCCACAGAGCTGGGCTTTATGGAAGAATGGCCAGAAAAAAGCCATTGCTTAAAGAAAAAAAATAAGCAAACACGTTTGGTGTTCACCAAAAGGCATGTTGGAGACTCCCCAAACATATGGAAGAAGGTACTCTAGTCAGATGAGACTAAAATTGAGCTTTTTGGCCATCAAGGAAAACGCTATGTCTGGCGCAAACCCAACACCTCTCATCACCTTGAGAACACCATCCCCACAGTGAAGCATGGTGGTGGCAGCATCATGCTGTGGGGATGTTATTCATTGGCAGGGACTGGGAAACTGGTCAGAATTGAAGGAATGATGAATGGCGCTAAATAGAGGGAAATTCTTGAGGGAAACCTGTTTCAGTCTTCCAGAGATTTGAGACTGGGACGGAGGTTCACCTTCCAGCAGGACAATGACCCTAAGCATACTGCTAAAGCAACACTCGAGTGGTTTAAGCAGAAACATTTAAATGTCATGGAATGGCCTAGTCAAAGCCCAGACCTCAATCCAATTGAGAATCTGTGGTATGACTTAAAGATTGCTGTACACCAGCGGAACCCATCCAACTTGAAGGAGCTGGAGAAAAAATCCCAGTGGCTAGATGTGCCAAGCTTATAGAGACATACCCCAAGAGACTTGCAGCTGTAATTGCTGCAAAAGGTGGCTCTACAAAGGGAGGGGGGGGTAAATAGTGGGGGGGGTGAATAGTTATGCACGCTCAAGTTCTTTTTTTTTGGTGTTAATCTTGTTTGTTTCACACCAAAAAATATTTTGCATCTTCAAAGTGGTAGGCATGTTGTGTAAATCAAATGATACAAACCCCCCAAAAATAATTTTTTTATTCCAGGTTGTAAGGCAACAAAATAGGAAAAATGCCAATGGGGGGTGAATACTTTCTCAAGCCAGTGTATAGCCATGTTGTCTCTTTATGTATTTATTCCTTGTGTTATTATTTTTCTATCATTTCTCTTTTTTTTCTCTACATTGTTGAGAAGGGCCCATAAGTAAGCATTTCACTGAGTCTACACCTGTTGTTTACGAAGCCTGTGACAAATAAATTGATGATTTGATTTGATTTCTGAGCATGCTCTGAGAACGCGTACAGGAATACTCGTCCTTGTGAGTGTTGACCGGATTAAAAACCTTATTCAAGTCCTCTGGGTCGGCGGGGGCCCTCATGCACTGCTCTGTGTTATTTTTGTCAAAGTGCATAAAATGCATTGAGTTCATCTGGTAGAGAGACATCGTTGGGCAGATCCAAGCTGTGTCTTTCTTATTAATCCGTAATGGACTGTAGCCCCTGCCACATGCTGCGGGCATCGGAGCCTGTGTAATAGGATTCCACCTTGTTCGTATATTGTCCTTTTGCTTGTTTGAGGGCTCTGCAGAGGTCTTAGTGGGACTTCTTGTACTTGTTCCTGTTCTCAGCCATAGCCTTGGAGTTGGCTGCGATAGTCCTTTGTGCGGAAGCCCTGTTCTTTAGCTTAGCGCCAATCTCAGTGTTAATCCAGGGCGTTTGATTGGTGAGCAGTGAACCTTCACTGTAGGGACAATGTCGGTGATGCATTTCTTAATGAACCTAACGATTCAGAGGACCATTTCTCTACGGAGCGTGTCACAGGTACTTCCTGTTTGAGCTTTTGCTTGTAGACAGGAAGCAGGAGTATAGAGTCATGATCTGATTTGCCGAAGGGGATGAGGCAGGGCCTTGAATGCTTGCTTAAGTATAGAGTAACAATGTTCTTAATTCCCCCTAGTGCCGAAAGAGACGTGTTGATGGAAGTTGGGCATCACGTGTCTTAATAACGTGGCATTTAAATCACTGACAACCAGAATAGCAGCCTCCGGGTGCATGATTTCCTGCTTGTTTATAGCCTAGTACAGTTTGTTAAGTGCCATCTTGCTGTTTTTCTTGTCCTGAGGTAGAATATATACAGCAGTCACGATAACGGCTAAAACTCTCTCGGGAGGTAGAAGGGTCAGCATTTGACCATCAGGTATTCCAAGACAGGTGAAGAATAGGTAGAGACTTCCACTGTGCTAGAGTCAGCACACCATTTGCTGTTGACGAAGAGGCATATCCCTCCCCCTCTCGATTTCCCTGAATCCAATGTCCTCTCCACTCGGTGAATGGAGAATCCATCGAGTTGGATAGCAATGGGGGTATCTTGTCCACCCATGGCATACTGGTAGTAGCAATGGATAGGCAGTCATATTGTGTTGCCTTGCATTGTTTTACAATGCCTCAAATTCAAATCAACAAAAGTGTAGAGAGGGGAAGGACAGAGATGTTGAATTAGAGAGAAAATAAGAGAGAGTGAGAGAGAGGGAGTGATAAGGGCATTCAAAGGAAAAGGAGAAAGTGGGGGTGGAGAAGGGAGAAGAAAGTGGTGAAGAGAAAGAGGCTAAGCGAGAGAGGGAGTAGAGATAAAGAGGGGGACGAGAGAGCGAGAGGTAGAGAAAGGTAGAGAGAGAGAGGGAGCGAAGATAAGATCACCTAGCTTCTGTGAACACCATCCCCCTGTGTCCTACACTCGCCTCTTATCTCAACCACTGCAGACACCCTAAAGAGGACACACACCCACCGAGAGAGAAAGAAAGAAAAATAGAAAGACAGAAGGGAGTACAAGAGAAAGAGTGAGACAATGGAAACAGGGACTGAAAGACACAATGTCTAAAAAGTACAAAAGACAGGTTGGAAAGACACCACTACTCTTTCAATTACATGCATTGTCATCATCTTACCAGTGATTATTTGAGAAACAGCTGTCGGTGATAATAATGTTTACTGCCAAGTGGACAAACTCTCTTCTCTTTTGTTACAAGAGATTCCGTTTTCAAGATGTCAAACTGAAGATTTATTGGCATCAATTAAGCCAGTCCCTCTGTCATAGAGTCTACTTTACCCAGTCATAATTATGACTTAAAAGATGTGAGATCATGAGACTTGCTATTATCATTCATGCTTTTGTCATTTATGGCTCCCTCTACTAAAAAGTGTTACCATCAGTTCTCATCCCAATGTTTTTGTCCTGATTATCTTTTGTCCATTTATTCTAGGATCACAAAATTGGAAATAAAAAGCTGTAGCTCAATGCTCTTTAAACTATTAGAACATTTCAGCTAGAGCCTTAAGAGTAAATTGCATGAAATAACTCTATACACCCTTGCACATAAGGAACTCTGAAAGAAAATCATTGCCTTGAAACTTTATTCAGTCAGTCAATAGAAATCTCCCGATCTCTCACCTCTGTTTTGTTAGCACCTATCTGGACCTGAAAGGCATGCCCAAGGACAGCCTTTTCTCCATACACAAAATACGTTTTCACTTCAGTTTATAGATTGATTTTATGACATTAAAACCTGATGAGATTACTACTATGTGAGGTCTCAGTTCTCTGTGTGTTGTACTACTAAAGCCTTTATGACGCCAATTACTATAGCAAAATACTTCATGGCAAATTAATGAATGAATGGACCATGTTATTCTATAATGTATGCAATAGCAACACAGTCACTTGTTGGAAGGCTAACAAACCAACCAAATCATTTCTTGCCATGTATCCCTTTAAGGCAGATCAGCAATCCCTTGGCTCAGTGTGTACTAAGGCTGTGTCCATATATTATTCCAACTCTTCCTAAAGTCACCTTTCTTTCAAGACCACTGGCAGGTGAATGGACTTGATAGGTTTCCACCATAACACTTTCAGATCTTTGCTCATTGAGGAAAGAAGATGAGGAAGGGGGGTTATCTTATACTGTCGGGACACAGTCAATGTCCACCCCCATATCATCTTCAAATATGCATTTGGATGCAGTAAACCCTTCATGAAATAAAAATGCTATATGAGCTGGGAGCAGAGTATGCCTTAATAATAAGCCTTAATAATTCAGGAGCTGTTTCAGAGACCAATGAATGCTCGTTTTGAGTGCCCACATTATAAAAGTGACAGAATGCATTCATAATGAGGTGTAATACCCCAGACCCCTTTACCATACCGATCCTCCAGCGCTTACACAAGGTACAAAATGAACCTTGAAAAACGAGAGCGAGCGAGAGAGAGAGAGAGAGAGAGAGAGAGAGAGAGAGAGAGAGAGAGAGAGAGAGAGAGAGAGAGAGAGAGAACATTGAAACAGCATGTCACTGTGTGTGGATTGTGGAAGTCAGTGAGTGCACCACATCTCTCCCTGCATGCTGCTTCCCGAGTGGGCCGACTCCAAGCGTGCATCTGAAATGGAACCCTATTCCCTAGGTCTATATCGGCACTGCTCAAAAGTAATGTACTATTTGGGAATAGGGTGCCTAAGCTCTAGTTAAATGATTGGCAAAGGAGGGAAAAGGGCCGGCTCTAATGTGTTGCATGTGAAGGATTTACTGGAGAGCAGAGCCACTGAATCAATGGAGTAGAAAATGCATCATTAGGACAGTGTTGTTGTCGTCGTCCCCCTCTCTACGCGCTCCCGAGAGGGATGGGGACTACACACACACACACACACACACACACACACATACTGGCACGCACACACACAGAAACAGACACATACCAGCATTTACTGTATACTGTATACATACACACATGCATACAGGCACACTTTGATGAGTTCTCAATGTCACTGGTCAGTAGTTTATATTATTCTCTCATTCATACCTATTCCCCACTGTCATTATGTTTCGTAAATATGTGTCTGATTATTTTAAATAGTGGAGTCTACTAATTCTCAAACAGTAAACTACCTTCACAAAAACATAGGCCCCTCGTGTACTAATGTGCAGGTTGTTGCTCCAAAGGTAATTTGACTTCTGCTTTGTGCAAATAAATATTTAAGTAATATTTCAACCTAGTTGTGTAGCGTAATCCTTTCCATCTCACAGTTCTTTCACATTAACAATCGAGAAGAAATCAAACCAAAAAAATAGTAATTTGTCAAAAACAGGAGCAGGGGTCTGAGTCTGACACACAGAGGCAGGGGTCTGAGTCTGACATTCAGTAGCAGGGGTCTGAGTCTGACATTCAGGAGCAGGGGTCTGAGTCTGACATTCAGGAGCAGGGGTCTGAGTCTGACATTCAGTAGCAGGGGTCTGAGTCTGACATTCAGGAGCAGGGGTCTGAGTCTGACATTCAGTAGCAGGGGTCTGAGTCTGACATTCAGTAGCAGGGGTCTGAGTCTGACATTCAGTTGCAGGGGTCTGAGTCTGACATTCAGTAGCAGGGGTCTGAGTCTGACATTCAGGAGCAGGGGTCTGAGTCTGACATTCAGTTGCAGGGGTCTGAGTCTGACATTCAGTAGCAGGGGCAGGGACGGCTTGTTCAATAGGGCGATATGGGCGACGCACTGCCAAACGGGAAAAGGAAGGGATTTTTTTTCTAATCAATTATATCACGGCAACAGCAGTTATCAGTGTTCACGTCTGATCTGCCAGCCACTAAATGTCAAATCAGGCTAAAGTCGTGCTTCAAATGGCCCCGCCCGTTTTTTGGGCGATTTCAGTCAGGTTGAAAATCGCCCAGAAGTCTCTCATAGCCTGTCATGTAAAATCTATTTTTTTCACATTTCAAAGCTTTCAATACATTCTCTATGGGTGTCTGTGGGCATGCACTTACGCGCTTTCGTCATACGTGACGTAACGTTGAACGTAACTAAGACAATGCGGCTAGCAGCGTCTATGTTGCGACCTGCAGTGTGGCGTTATTTTATGTTTTTAATTTGTAGACTTAGTTTACAAACATTCTGCAAACATTCTGCTTTGGACTGATCTTCTGTTTTGGACTGATCTTGTTGATCGTGTACATACCCGCTACGAACGGACTAAATAATGAAAACGCTGCTGGCAGCGGAATCCCAATACAGCTGGGAGACTTGGCTGGATGACAGAGTCCCGGACAGAGAGGTGGAGCCGGCCGGCTTCACCCTGGTCAGAGCGGACCACGATCCTGGTAAGAGAGCGACTCTGTACCCCGACATTGAACTGCTTTCTGTGTCATTGAACCTTACTATTGTTGATAAAACAAGTTTACTGGAGAACGGAGACCAAGTAGAGACTTTTGGACAAGGTGGATAATTGTATAATATAAGGCAGTTTATTCAGAGGTAAAGATATCTGGAATCGCGTGCACGGACCCGTTCGTCAAACTCGTAGGGAGTTTATCAGAAGAGCCCCTAAACATTGTGTGCTGACATTTTATACAATAAAATGAAGTAGGTTGAATCTAGTAGTTCTGATCTTCTGATTGGTCCTGATGAGTTGGGCGAGGTCACCTCCAGGCTAGTGTCACTGTTGCATTGGCTCTGAGTCGGGTTCTCTGTCTTCAGATGTTCAGCCTAAGAGAAGAGGATTTGTGTGTGTGTGTGTGTGTTTGTTATCAGTGTGTGTGTGTGTGTGTGTGTGTGTGTGTGTGTGTGTTTGTTATCAGTGATGATGTGTGTGTGTGTGTGTGTGTGTTTATCAGTGATGATGTGTGTGTGTGTGTGTGTGTGTGTGTGTGTGTGTGTGTGTGTGTGTGTGTGGGTGTGTGTGTGTGTGTGTGTCCTCAGGGCAAGAACTCGTGAGTTGGAAGAACTGAGAGACCTATGGCGTGGGTGTTATCCTTAGCCACCTGCTGACAAGGCTGACAAGATAGGACTCTTGTTCATTGTATTGAATACAAAGGCCCAACACAAAATGGGTCATGCACAAGATTTTAGTCAGACCAAGCTATAACATTATATATTTACTACGACAGTACATTCAACCAAAAGCTAATATAACAAAGGCATCAGAGATTATGTATAATCTGTCACAGAAACTGGAATCCATCTCCCCAGATCAGTCAATAAATGCTTCTGGTATTGACTTATATGCTGCCCCTGTCTTCATGTTGTTGCTGGACATATCTTTTTTAAAATGTGTGTAGGTCACCTAAATCATCAGAAAAATTGCCCCTCCTGAGAATTATTTCAGGAGCCGCCACTGAGCAGGGGTCTGAGTCTGACATTCAGGAGCAGGGGTCTGAGTCTGACATTCAGGAGCAGGGGTCTGAGTCTGACATTCAGGAGCAGGGGTCTGAGTCTGACATTCAGTTGCAGGGGTCTGAGTCTGACATTCAGTAGCAGGGGTCTGAGTCTGACACACAGGAGCAGGGGTCTGAGTCTGACACACAGGAGCAGGGGTCTGAGTCTGACACACAGTTGCAGGGGTCTGAGTCTGACATTCAGTAGCAGGGGTCTGAGTCTGACACACAGGGGCAGGGGTCTGAGTCTGACATTCAGGGGTTGGTCTGCCCTCCCATTACAACACTTACAGACCTAAACACCACCATTAATATTCCTCTCCTCTCTTCTCTCGTTCCTGCTTTCCTGCCCTATTATTCCGCCTCGGCAGAGAGACGACACGTCCTGTCCTATCCCGTCCTCCACCGGGGAGACGAGACGAGAGGACATTCCAAACAGGGGTGACTCGGGGAGGACTCGGGGGGTGGAGAGGGAACATGGATCATTACACTTCCTGTTGCGACTCGGGGAGGGAAGAAAACGACGCTACTCCTGGGCCGATTGATTCTGGAGAGTTAATTTGCTTTATTAGCCAAGATGTTGGCCCGCGAGGGGCTCCTGTTCTACACCCGGAGGCCCCCCTTACCCCTCCACTACCCTCTCCCTCCCTCCACCCCTCCAATCTAATTCCTGCGAAAAAGAAACCCTGCGTAATTGTTTTCCCTCCATCTTCCGTGTCATTGTCAGATGGGTCCTGCGGGATTATTAGCAACCCCAGGTCCCTCAATAATTCATCCTAAACTATTTATACACAGATGGAGAGTCCTCTAATGTCTCCCCCAGTGAGCATATCTAGCGTTCAGACAGAGAGAGAGGGGGAGAGAAGGGGGAGGGAGAGAAAGAGAGAAAAACAAGCGATACAGTGAGGTGAGAGATTGAAAGAGTGAGAGAAAGGGAGACTAGGGGGCAGACTGAGAAAGAGAGGGATGGGGAGAGGCAGTGAGAGACGGAGGCACAGAGGAGTGTGTGTGTGTGTGTAGAGAGAGAAAGAGCGAGAGACAGAGAGAGAAAAGCTTCTTTTTTTTGGAAGAGGCACAATGACCCTGTTTCATGGTGTGCTTTCAGTTTCAAGGTGAAGCCGCTCACTCTCCCCCGCTTTGCCAAAGTGAACAAAAGCACCATCCGGGGAATAGCAGCCTCCCCCACACAACCCTCATTAATGGCTTTTAATTAATCTGGCCCCTTTTTTTTCCTCCATTTAACACAATTAAGATGTTTGCAAAGCTAACATGGAGCGCCAATCGCTAAAGGAAGGGCACATGAAAGACACACAAGGATTTTCATATTTTCCATATACACCATGCAAACACAGTTATCCCCCCTCTGTATTATGTCAATGAATAAGATCAACAAACACACCACTGACTCATTCCACCATTCCTTCATAAACACATTATGATACGATAACATAATAAATTAGCATATTAGCATTTGCGCAATAAGCAGCTTTTGTCATCCTAAATAGAAAGTGTTGAGGTTTGAGAAAAAGTATTTCTAACTTGTTTTGAACTGCCTAGCTGTCAGACCTGGGAAAACTATAATTTGAACTAGCCTTGGTGGAAATAACTATTTTTCCTGGGGAACAAATAGTTACTTTGGAGGTAACTACAACTATCTGAAGATCCCAAAGAAGGACTACTTTGCAAAATACATTAGTGTTTTTTCATCCAAAATGATTGCTTATGGATACCATGTGTGTGTGTAAAATATTACTGCTGTCAGATTTTTTATTCATTGATTTTTAAAGATATTTTAAAGATATTAAAATGTTGTTGTTTTTTGGAAAAATGCTATATATCCAGTGTTTAGCTCAAGTTGAAGTTTTGTGTCCTGTATATTTGACTGTGATATGGGGTTGTCTCACCTAGCTATCTTAATATGAAGGCACTAACTGTCGCTCTGGATAAGAGAATCTGCTAAATTACTAAAATGTCAAACGTAAATGTTTTACACACAGATCTCATATTACTGTACTGATTCATTTTAGATTTTATTTTTTAAATATTAATGTCACAAATGTATCATAATTTTTTGGTGCTATTTGTCACATTTGACCATGTAAAACCAAGCAGTACTACCTATTTATCTGAGAGTGAGGTGGATATACTGTACATGTATAGTGTTTTGCAAAAAAACATGATTATTTGTCTCTCTGAAATGAAACCATCAAGTGATAGATTTCAAACAAATACATCTGTCATTGAACAGCCCCATTTCATGATTAGATGGTGAAAAAACACACTGATCTCTTTCATAAGTTCTTAATAATAAAAGCTAATTTACCAACACTTCTGAAAATGAATGTATAGCATTTTGGAACTCTTCATTTGATCTACACAATACATTTTTATCCGAACATTTTGTAAATGTCCATTTTCTTATCCATTGCCCCATGTGTACATAATCAAGTCAAACCAATCAACCAATTATATTTTGTACAGATAAGTATAAATAAGTTGTGACACTCAACTACTGTATGACACTGAAAAGGTAGAAAGCTGCAATTCATTTTATGATACCTGAAAATACAGCAGCGTATTTCAAATCCATTTGCAAACATTGCAAACAGCAAGTTAGATGCTTAGCAAAAGCAACTTCCAACCTCTTTGTCGATATGGGGGTAAGTGTTCTTGTTTCAAACACACACTATACCATCTTTAAAGGGATTGTTTACTCAGAATACAAACAAACATGATTTTCAACCAAGGCAGTTGTGGGATATTTAGTTTCCTTTCAACAATTAATAGCCATATTTTGTTACTGTTAGCATTCTCAGTAACACTTTCCATTAAACTGTTATTGTGCCTGTGTAATAAAACTGTAATTACTTTTGGAGCAACATTTTATTAGCGTGGTGTTACATAATACTTTGGTAATGCATTTCAATTGCATAGCAATGAGCTGAGAGTTTTTGTAACTACCGTACACAAGAGGAATAGTGACTGTTCCTTATTCCACTTATGTAATAACTCAATTATAAAGCAATTTCCAAAGTCCTATGTAACAACAATATTGCCATTGTAATAATCATACTACACATGTATAAGAACTTGATGTCAAGTGTTACTGTATTACCTTGTCTCACTCATTATGAACAAATATTTGTCAATACATTTTTATGCTGCAAAAGTGGTCTACTCTAAGGTTGAAGTGATTCCATTTCCCTCATGTATTTAATTTGAGGCTATATTAATATTCATATCTAAGAGCCCTCCAAACCATGTTCTTATGATCATATATTTAGACTAATTCAACAAAATCTTCATCAAATATTTGGCAGCCATCCCCAAACTTTGGGAGGGGGGGGGGGGGGGGGGGGGGGTTTCAAATAACTTGCATATATTCAAATACCTTTTTTTTTTTAGGTTTTCTGAGAGGTATTCAACATACTTTCAAATATTATTTGATTTTCTTTTAATTGAAACTATATAAACTATATTTGACTATCTTGAGTATTTGAAAAGTTGGAATTTACAAATAAACCACAAAATACAACTACTTTCTGCCCAAGTCTGCTAGTCGTAGATACATGGGTTCTCCTCCCACCCTGCCTCGGTGGAGAGACATTCTGTTGTCGTCCCGCTAATGAGGCCTTTGGCACAGGCAGTCGATTTTCAAAGTCCTTTTATCGGCTCTTGAGCTACAGATAATTATAAATATTTAGCCATTTGGCAGATGCTTTTATCCGGCTCACTTAGAAGGATGCAACTCCCTCTTGGACAAATTGGGACATTGAAATGCAGATTGGAATCACATAGTTTTTACATTTCGCATTGGAGGCAAATGTGGGTGGAAGAATGGAACTCTGCTAAATGGATTGGTTGGATGATCAAAACACTGGCCAACAGGTGTCTGATCCTTGCTGTACCATAGAACATTAACGTACATGTACAGCATGACATGCACATAGATCGCATTTAATGTAATGGTATCGTGCAAAGTAATATTAAATCTGAACCTTATTTCACTTTGATGTAAATGGAGGTCCGTTTTGCAATTTTTATCCTAAGTATCGCCAGCAGGTCTCAGTCAGACCAGTACTGAGTGGCAACTGGCAACCTCTGTCGAGAATTAGTAGGACTATGCCCTGCCCAGAGGGACCATTGTGTCATTTAATGTAAATGATTGCTTAGAGTCTAGAAACCCACAAGTGGTGCAAGGGAGAGACCTCAGAAGCCATGAAATAATTTGCTGAAGGGTTTTTGTCCAAATCATTCCTGGGCTGATTTGTTCATGGAGTTATGTGCTGAATGGCCAAGCAGAGAGCCAGCTGAGCCCACCGGCCGCTGAGCCAAGTAGTCTACTGTTTTACACACGCACACACACACACACACAGAGAGGGAGAGACACACAGACACCCACACACACACACATACAAACACACACACACACAGAGAGAGAGAGAGAGAGAGAGAGAGAGAGAGAGAGAGAGAGAGAGATACACACAGAGAGAGAGACACATACAAACACACACACTCACAGAGAGAAAGAGACACACACACACACACACACACACATACAAACACACAGAGAGAGAGAGAGAGAGAGAGGGGAGAGAGAGAGAGAGAGAGAGAGAGAGAGAGAGAGAGAGAGAGAGAGAGAGACATACACACACACACACACACAAAGCCATATTCTTACACACTGAGGCAGAGGCCACAAATCATAATATTGATATATCATGCAACATTTGTGGTATTGATGCATTAATTAATGTACACATATTATGTATATATTCTGAACTACAGCATACATTATCTTCAAAATAAACATTCCATCCATGTAAATAATGTTTTACTCATCGCATAGCTTTTGCCAACTAAAACCCATATTTCTAAAAAGGCAGTATATATTTTTTTTTTATGAATGGCGGCGGACAGCAGTATGTTAACCTTTATCCCTTTCCCTTACCCTAAACCTTACCTTAACCTCATTGAAACTATACCTAACCTTAACCTTAACCTAACCCTTGTTCCTCAACCTAACCTTAACCCTAATAACCCATCATATATTTTGACCCTTGTGCCTAAACTAATTTTTTCTTATGTGGGTCAAATATCCACTTATCCACAAGATAACCAATTGAAAGCAGTTCACATGAAGTGTAGCAGAGAAAAACAGCAGGTACTATTATAGGCAAAACAACAACATTAACACGTTGTAAAAAAATGGCTGCCTACATCGGTGAGCACTTGCTTATTCACCCCTGGGGGCGGCTTCAAGCAGCGAGGCCGAATTCTGCTCCCATTGCAGGAAGGTCATTTTCCTTCCAGGGCCGTGATTGCCACAGATTAGTGCTTAAATCTTGCAAAATGCAACCTATAAATTACGGCAAAGGACAGAGGGGTCAGAGCCTGCCGTGGAACGGCGCCAGGAGCCATCTATCTGCA